AAAATTGGATAACATTGCAATTTCCTAAAACAAAATATTGTAATTTGGGTGGCTAGAGAATTGTGTTGTAATTAAATTGCAACTACAACAAACTAAACAACTCATAAGAGTATGAATTATGTACCAAAATAAATTAATAATTGTGTGGTACTATAAATTTTTGTGTCTTGTATTATGAATTTCTATGTCTTGTACTATGAATTCTTATATATTTGTGCTGTGAAATCCTGTGCATATGATTATATGAACATAAATTATATAATTAAATCATATTTAAAAAACAAGTAAATATATAACATGTGTATATGTGTCTTTGTGTCGTAATTTTTTGTTCATTTTATGTTATAAAATTTTGTATCTTACGAGAATTCTGTACCTTGTTTCAATCTAGGGTCCATAGTGTTATATATTTTGTTGTGTTTTTTGTATTTTGTGTTATGAAATATTGTACCTTACATGTATGAATTTTGTACTGACAAGTTATCGATAAATTTATATCATTGATCACTGAAAAGTACGTTCACAACCCTTCAAATCTACCATTGATTGGCTGGAGAAGTGACCACTACTCCGGAGAAGCAAAAAACATGGTTGCTATATATGGAGAGGTGACCAAATCTTGTTGCTATTTTTGAAGAGGCTACCAGATTTGGTGACTAGAGAAGGCGATCAAATTGGTTGCCTTTCCAGCGTAGGAGAATATGACCAGTTGGTCTGCCTTATCCTTTGTCGGAGAAGGTGGCCAACTGACACCCTTATCTAGTGTAGGAGAAGGTGACCAGTTGGTCTGCCTTCTCCTCCGTCGAAGAAGGCTGTCAACTGACATCGACGACCATTTCGTCGTGTTTTTTTTTTTTTTTTTTTCAGAATTTTGTCAAAAATTCATCAAAAATAACTTGTTTATGCGTTTAATTACAATATTTGAATGTTTAAGGACATAATTAACTTTTTAAGTAAATTTTAAAGATTTATTTGATTATTTTTCATAATAATAATAATAATAATAATAATAATAATAATAATAATAATAATAATAATAACTATTACAGAGCAATTGCCAAGCACTAATTAAATAATAGAAAACAAAGAAACACACAAATTTGACATTAAGCTTGTAGATTTACTTTATCCCGTAAAATATGTTTGCACATAATAGTAGATAACTGACATATAATATAACCCCCTTTTAACATTTTACAGGGCATTTGGTTGGAGGGGGGGGGGGGGGTGGGGGGAATTATGTGGGAAAGGAATTGTAATTCCATGGGAGTTGAATTACTGGGAATAAAGTGGGAATTTAAATTCCAGTGTTTGGTTGACAGGAATAGAATTACTGGAAATTTCAATTCCAATGTTTGGTATACATGGGAATTGAAAGAGAATAAGTAGTATAAAGTCAAAAATGTCTATTATTGTTGTTAGACATTAATTTTAAGTTAAAAAAGGAAGGAGTAATGTTGACTCATCACTATCTTTTTTCTTAGGAATTAAAATACCAGGGGGGACATGAGATTTTAATTCCATGAAAATGGGGGAATTGCAATTCCCTCCAACCAAACTACGAAATTTAATGGCCTTTGGAATTAGGTGGGAATTAAGTGGGAAGGGAATTTAAAATCCCTCCAACCAAACGCCCTGTTAATCTTGTATTTTCTCAAAAATCATTTTTCAATATATGTATATATTCATGCACAAGGAGGAACACCAATCTCAATGCAATGGGTAGGGTCTTGTTTCATCAAGCTCTAGTGGACACTAATCACTCTACTGAACACTACACAAAATCTCATTCAACCTCAAATAATAGTGTGCTCAAATGGCATGTAGTGACTTTTTCTATGTGCGAGGTCATAAAATCTCTATATGATTCATTAAATTAAAAAAGTATATTTTAACAGATACTAAAATGTAATAGAGTCTTGTGGCATTAAAAAAAAATAAAAACTATTACGGAGCAATTAAAAACAAAAAAACAGAACTCAAGAAATAGCTCATTTCTTGGTGGAAGTCTCCCAGGTGTCTCCTGAACAATGGCCTTCTCTGCAGCATTCCGTTGCCCCTCTTCACCTTCTCTTTTCCGCTCGCCAAAGATCTCTGCAATTTCTAGCTCTCATCTGCCGCCATCTTCAATCTGTTTTAGGTCCTCTCCTTCAAGTATCAATCGCCAGAAATTCCCCTCTATTCCATTGGCTTCGGTCCAAGGTACTGTCTACATACATATGCACAAACACGGTTTTTCTGTCCTCCTGTTTTCCTCATTGCTGGACCCGTTTATATTTATAGTTTCGATTACTTTGTTCTTAATTTGTTCGTAGTTGCGAATTCTAGTTAGCTTTCGTTTCACACCTCAATACTACAGACTCTGTAGCTATATCTAAGAATTCTGATAAGATAAATTACAATTATATACATGGATTCAAACATCAAATGCTATAGGGTTATCAGAGTGCACGATTACCATTTCCATGATCCATCCAAGCTAAGAATTTCTAAACCCTAAAACTGAAATTAGAAGGGATTGCTTGCCAAAATGTTTTTTCTGATTTGATATCCTTTTGTGAACAATTGACTTGAAGGTGTTGATTCTAAACTTGCTGGAATTCTGGAATATGATAGCGTTAATATATAGTCAAGATGTACTTTGTATGTTTACATACTTAACTACAATGAATTGCTTTCACTGTATCCCAAATATAAGGGAAAATCTATGCTGAACCCTAGTTATCCACTTGTTTATGACTTTTCAAATGCATTTCACCTTAGGTTGCAAAGATCAATACCAAATCGATGATTAACATCTTTGGATAGTGAGCTAAGACAAGAGTGGCTGCTGAAAAACTCCACATAATTAAAACTAAATAAATAAATAATTATCTAGTCTAATATGGATGTACGGAGAATATAATATCAACACCACTTATCTCTTCCTCATGAGTCATGACTTTGTCTTTAACACTATGGGATCTTCAATTCCCCCCTCCTTAAAGGAGCACATCAGGTCTGCCATCTTCATCTTTTTAAATTATAAAATGATAACCTTCTAGTGGCTTGAGCCATAGCAAATGCAAGAGTACATTCTGTATTTTTTCTAAAATGTTAATATATTAATTTCTTACTGTGTTCTAGCACCACCAGCAGCTGGAGAAGTTGCTCCTGCGATTTCCTTGACAGACAATGCTCTGAAACACCTGAATAAGATGAGAGCTGATCGGAATGAAGATTTGTTTCTCAGGATTGGTGTCAAGCAAGGAGGATGCTCTGGTATGTCTTATACAATGGAGTTTGAGAGCAGAGAAAATGCTAGACCAGATGATTCTGTCATTGAGTACAATGGCTTTGTGATTGGTATGTCCTACTTGTTTACATGCTGTGTAGGGGAATTAGATACTTCATATCATTATGTTGTGAAGGTGATTCTACAAAACAATATTGCATTTCCTTTTTGTCTAATCACAGTAATATGAGTCTGATTCTTATACCTCATAATGTGACAATCTCTCTTATAAAGCACTAGTTGACTTATATATGTGCTATCGACATGTCTGGAACCATTTTTGTTTTTACTGAATACATGATGTATTCCCTTTATTATGATACAGTCCCAAGAGGCCAAGATGATGGTTTATGACTTAAGCTAAAATTAACAATTTTTTAAAAATAAATGAAATAATGTGTAGTCTGAATGGATTGCAAGGCCATGAATCCTATCGTCTTTTTGTTCCTTTTTAAGTGAGAGGGCAGGAAAAGAGTAGAATGTTTGAGTGATTTACGTATTGTGACATGCTGAAAATATCAACTTTTCATTTTGTGTTAGATGTTGTGTCATGTTATATCTTGTTTGTGTGATGATGTTATTCTTTTATATCACTGCTACCGTGCTACGAATGTTAATCATCAATCAGAGGCATCAGCCTTGCTGTACTTCTTAACAGTTAACTCTGTGATAGTGTGATATGTGTTGCATTAGGTAGGTTATTGATTATGTTACTTTTACCTTAAATGTTATTGCAGTTTGTGATCCAAAAAGCCTTCTCTTCCTCTTTGGGATGCAGCTGGACTACAGTGATGCACTCATAGGTGGAGGATTCTCTTTCAAGAATCCCAACGCCACACAAACCTGTGGATGTGGTAAATCATTTGCAGCGGAAATGTGATGACATGCACGCTGAATTAATATACTTACACTGGTAGTTCGGATTATAACAATAGATATTGTTTCTTGCAATTCGCACAATCCGGTAATGCAGTATATGAAAATGTGAAGACATTGTTTTTATTAATCAATATGCTACAGTATTTGGTAGTTTGTGGGATGCACGCATCTGATCTCGTAAAATATGAAAATAGATATTCACATGGTAGATGGAGTGTCAAGATTAAAAATTTAGCTTTTGAGTTTTGAGTATGGACAAGGGGAAATGGAAGAGTATTGGTAACTACAACAGTAAAATTTTATATAAGAGGTTACAACTTGATATCAGGTATTTTAGAGCGTGTTTGGTTTTGGATATAAGATGCCAATTTCTTAAAATTTGATGAAAATGTTATTTGCTCTTATTTGGTTCATGGAAATTACTACTTTATGATGGAAATACAATTCTTTACTTTTGACACTTTTGAGGAAAAAGTTTTCAAAAGCTCAACATTTGTATTTTGTTTTTTATTAAAAAAGTTTTCTTTGCTTACTTGGTAGGATAATGGAATTAATGTTCTTATAATGTTAGTTACTCGTTAATAGAAGACATGTTAAATGAGATATAAGTTCTATATTTTTATAGATAAAAATTTAATACACTATACATCTTCAAATTTTACACAAAAGTGTAATTAAATTTTTGAACTTTTGAAATGTACAATTAAACACTTTAATTTATTAAAAGCAGTTAAATAAGATTAAAAATGTATTTAATTGTACCTTTTAAAAATTTAAAAATTTAATTATACTTTTGTATAAAGTATTAGGGTTTATTTTATCATTTAAAAAATAAATAAAAATTATTGGTATCTCAATCATTGTCTAGTATCGAAGTTTCTCCTTCCCCATTTTCCAAAATTCTCTAAAACCCTTCTCTTTCTGCGGCTGTTTCTACTTGGATTTTCAAATTCAAGAATGGGTTCTTCGTCCATCACTAGATTGCCCCTCTATCTTCATTCAAACCTCAATCAAAATCGAAGTTTCTCCTTCCCCATTTTCCAAAATTCTCTAAAACCCTTCTCCCTCCTCAACCCTGTCCGCACCCCCAAAACCCTTCGCTACTCAGCAATACCCACATCAAAATCAAAATCTGCACTAAATTTAACTCCAGAGAAGAGGATTTCCAAGTTTATCAGTGAGAAATTAGTGATTTTGGCTCTTGGGTCATTCGTTTTTTTGGGGGGTTTAAGGGTTTGGGCAGCGGTGGCGCAGCCGGTTCAAGAAAGTAGTGGGGTTGAGGCGGAGGCCCAGAGTGGTGGAAGTGAGGAGATGATATATGTGAAGCTGCTGGAGAAGAACCCCAGAGATGTGGAGGCTCTGAAGATGATTGTTAATGTGATGATGAAGAAAGGGAAGACGAAGGAGGCTGTTAAGTATGTGGAGAGGTTGATTGAGGTTCAACCTAGAGAAGTTGAGTGGAGACTGTTGCAGGCTTTTTGCTATGAGATAATGGGGCAATTAACCAAGGCTAAGAGATTGTTTAAGCAAATATTGAAGCAAGAACCTCTATTGCTTAGAGCATTGCACGTATGTTTCGTTGATCCACCCTCTATCTTTTTTGTTTTAAATGCTGTATTTGTATGATCATGAGTTGTTGTGGATCTAATAGATGGCTGTTTAAAAAATGAAAAGAATCTGGTCTTCAGTGTTTTGCTCTTATTTTTTTTATTATATTTTACAGGGTCTAGCAATGGTTATGCACAAGAACCTTGAAGGTCCTGCTGTATTTGAGATGCTGAATGGTGCTCTAGAAGTTGCTCATCGAGAAAAAAAGGTTAATAAGGAGAGGAATATAAAGATATTGATTGCACAGATGCATCTTGTAAAGGTAATAATAGATCATGATTGTAAAATATTTTATTAAGAAAAGAATGTTCATTGCATGCAGATCAATCAATAGGCGGCTAATAGTTTAGTTCTGTCAAGAACGAAACTGATTGAGATGGAGTGATGGGTAAAAAAGAAAACTAGCTAGCAAATGAAGATGAGTGTGAAGATTTTTTATTTAACTTTTATGTTTTGATCATTATTCGTGTTTATAGGGAGAGTTAGAGGAGGCTTTGGAGAAGTTTCAAATTCTTGTTCAAGAGAACCCAAGAGATTTTCGCCCTTATTTGTGCCAGGTAAACTGCTGTTATGATTTTCTAAATTTGCTTAATGCTCATACTCTCCCCATTTCAAGTTGAGGAAGGAACTAGGATATGCTTATTATACAATCATACATATAAAGTGAAACATGAGAGTACATTAGATTCAAAGTGAAAGTTGAGTTTTTGATAATGAAAAAAACAATAGAAGATAATGAAAGTCAGGCAGGCGAAGAGAATATTATCGATCTCCAAACTTTTGTGTCAGGGAATTGTATACAGTCTCCTTGACAAAAAGAAGGAAGCTGAAGAGCAGTTTGAGATATACTGCAATCTCGTACCCGAAGAGTTTCCTGGGAGAGGGTTCCTTGATGATGTAATGTTGGCTGCAAAAACTGAATCTAAGGAACAGCTCGAGAAAGAATTCAAGGCTGAATATTCATATTCATATAAAAGTTGAAGCTTCCTTCCTAATAACTACAACTTTGTTTTCTACATGGATCAGCACGGAGCTCTGAACTCAGATCAGAGGCTATGCATATTGCATATTGCATAGTGTAGTGTGGCTCACAAAACATCCTAAAAACGCCCACCACAACCACATCTAAGCTAAGCTAGGCTAGGCCTAGGCCTGCACATACTTCGTTCTAGTTTGGCCAAATATTTATGAAGACGTTGATGTAATCATCAAATCAATGCAGTGTTGGTTGTACTGATTGATTAGTCAAAAACAGACCAAAATTTGATCGTATGACTATTGGGTTGTTAATATCAATCTGGAACAAATTGCACTTTTGGTCCTGTGAGTATTAAGGTACTGACAATTTGAGTACGTGACTTTCAAAACTCCCAATTTAGACCTTTAACTATGCAAAAATTGGCAGATTTGGTCCTCCGGGCCCAATTGCCGGCCAATTTTGGCCGGAAAAACATAAATTGGTTCGAATTTATTTGTGTTGAGGGCAAAATCGTCATTTCACTCCCTTCTTCTTCATTCTCCCTTTCTTCTTCGTTCTTCTTCTTCTTTCTTTCTTCTTCTTTGCTGCTTTTGTCGTGATTCTACTTTAACATTCTTCTTCGAATTTATTTCTGCTTTTGTCGTGATTCTACTTTAACATTCTTCTTCTTCTTCTTCGAATTTATTTCTGCTTTTGTCGTAAATTCACATTCTTCATTTCACCTTCTGTCGTGATTCTACTTTAACAATTTTTAGAAATTCAAAATAAATTATTAATGATAACAAAAGCTACAAGTAATAGATTAAAGAAGCAGCAAAGAAGAAGAAAGAAAGAAGAAGAAGAACGAAGAAGAAAAAGAAGAACGAAGAAGAAAGGGAGAATGAAGAAGAAGGGAGTGGAATGATTTTGCCCTCAACACAAATAAATTCGAACCAATTTATGTTTTTCCGGCCAAAATTGGCCGGCAATTTGGCCCGGAGGACCAAATCTGCCAATTTTTGCATAGTTAAAGGTCTAAATTGGGAGTTTTGAAAGTCACGTACTCAAATTGTCAGTACCCTAATACTCACAGGACCAAAAGTGCAATTTGTTCTATCAATCTGTAACTTTCAAAACTGTCAATTTAGTATCTTGACTATTTAAATTTTATCAATTTTGGTCACTCCGGTCAAATTGCCGATTAAATGTCACCGAAAAAAGTTTTGTTTAATCATAAGGACTATTTGGTAGAGTTTTAGTTATAGATCCGTTTGGTGAAATCTGAGCAACTTAAAATAATAACTTACTTTGAAACGTTTCTTCAACTATTTAACTTTTTACCAAACACCTTAATTTTAATTATTTAGTTTATTAACTACTAGCTTTTCAATTTTCAAACAGAGCTGGCCATACATCCCTTTTCACCAAAAAAATACCATTATTATTATTATTATCAAGTATTGTAATAACAAAAATACTCTCAATATGGGATTATAAAATAAAATAAAACAGTAACAGGACAATAACACTACATTACATGATATGCATGCTTAATTTCTTTCCTTTCTTCTTCTTCATCCTTAAACTTTTTCATCAACCTCTGTCGATCCTAACAACTCCTTTTCTTCAACTTCAGCTTCAGCTCTAAGTTCATTGCGAGCTACTGCTTGAACCCGCTCTTTTCCTCCAGCTTTAGATGACGCATTACCATACCAAACCATGCCTACTATCGCGATACCCATTCCCAATACAACTTGTATATTCATACCCTCTTTCCCGAAGAACAAGAATCCTAAAGTCAACACAAGAATGGTCTTCATGTGTCCAAGCACTTGAAATGAAACTGCAGTAAATCTGCCAATGCAGATGAATTGGCTGAGATTCGTCCCAATTGCTATTGTACATGAAAGGACGATCAACGACTGCATACAAGTAAATCAATCATTATAGCATATTAATTCTTGTATCTCTAATCTATAAAAAAAAAAAAATCAGAACTGCTAAGAGTCCCGCATTGAAAATATAAGAGAGAACATATGGGTTTATAATGCCATGCATTAGACTAGCTAATTAATTGGATTCGATCTTTTAGTGTGGTTTGACTTCAAACATAAAAAATGCTACCTAGAAGCAGTGGTAAATATTCTAGCATGTATCACACAAGTAGTTAGTTGATTGGAATGATTCGAAAGGGACTTAATTAGCTCTGATAGGAAGAAGCAGTATATGCTATAAACGAAGAAATCTCACTCCTAGCAAGTAAACCCATCCACCTCTTCTTTAATCAGTCATGAGAATTTGAAAAGATTCATGAGGGATTTCTTTCTGTGAGGATAGTCACAAGAGATTCACAAGGATGGATGGATTCAGGTAGGCTAAAACTGACTGAGAAGATAGGTCTTAATGAGATCTATATTGACACTAACATTTCCTGATATCTCAAGAAAGGTCAGTATTTACTGGCTAGAAAACTACAAGCAGTTCACAATTTGCAGTAACATAATGCATAGAATAACTCGTTTGAGTCTAACAACACTGCTGACAAGTATAAGAATCTCCTAAATATTCATTCTTATGATTCTTCTGATCTCTCTGCCATAAAGTGGCCTATTAATGAAAATTAAAAAGGAAAAAGGATGTGTTATAACGTGAATGCTCTTGTGTGGATAGACTATGTCAAAGTATGATATATATCATGCATTGAAGAAAAGAAGTTTTAGCAGATGAAGAAACATCCAGTGGGAATTGTTGTACTTACCACTGCGCTTAGAGTATAGTGATAGGCACCTACACTCTTATCAGTCAACCATTTATCTGTGATCGGGCCCACCAACAGCAGAGATGCAGCCTGTAGTGGTGCAGTATGCCCCAATAAATTGAAAGATCCTAGTGAGTACTTCCGTTGAAGAAAGTGTACATACTGCAATCCAAAAAGCAGACACAGGAAGATGATAGAGTTAGAAGATGATCAAGAGAAGAGGGAGAGTAAGACTGAATCCTTCATCAACTTATTCATATGACACTTGGTATAAAATTGATCATCTCCCCAGGATTCAAAGGAAAAACACGAGAGAGAGAGAATGGACAATCATACAATATGTTAATCAAGACCTAAATTAGCATGCCTTTGAGAAAAAGGCCCAAAAATTTCAAAAATAGTGATTTTAGTTGCAATCAACATAACCTGTTCAAAACATAGATATCCAGTAATCTATGACTTACATACTGCTGCAAAGCAGTGCTCCAAACCGCAATGAAGGCAGCAATAAATCCCTTTGCATTGACACTCACATCAGTAACTGTACAGATAGCAACACCCAGGAGAACCAACAAAATGCTTAGCTTGGTGTCTCTCGAGTATCGCACACTATCCAGCACAACTTCCAATAAACATGAGACAGGTATCATACTCAACTTTGCAATCTGTGAGAGGAGGAACCAATATTTACTTACAGTCACTTGGATGACATAAAGAAAATAATATCTGGTGGGTGTTCAAACTGACCTGATAGAATCCCACAGAGTTCCACATCAAACTCACATTCATTCCAACAATTGAGAAGTTTGCAAATAAAACAAATTTAATGCGCTCAGACCATGGAAGATTGGAATCCTGTATGTATCCAAGCCTCTTAAGAATAAGAGTCATCAGTGTAGTGGTGGCAAAATGTAGACCAGTCAAGGTTGTAGCTGCAAAATACAACAGAGGTCAAACTATCTACTCAAACCAACAAGAATTGATATCAATTTATTTATTTACTCCAAAGATTTACCAATAAATACTCATTCACTATCATGTATTTCAAAACATGAACCTGTTAATGTTGTTGACTAAGACAAATTATTGTTTGTCCTTTGTTTATATACTAATGAACAATTGATTTACATCTTATTACAGAACACTTTCATTCATGGGTAAGAATTTGTGTTAGAAATTAAATTGGGAATAAACGATGAAGATAACGCACCGAAGCTGAAGCCAAAATTAGCCATTAGGGCCTTATTAACAATAATAATTCCAACAGAAGTAACAATATTAAACGTCCATGCGGCTGTATCAATAATCGCCTTCTTCTCATCCTTGACGACAGCGGAAGACATTTTTCTTTACTACAAATATCAAAAATCTCTAAAATTCAGTCTTCACAAAAGCTAATCCCATCTCTCAGGACCTGTGCTGTTTAAAACATTTAAAGAAATCCATAACATGAAAATAAGGGCAATATGGAATAGGTTTTGTTATTAGAAGTGAAAACAACAAGAAAGGAACTAGTTTACAGCGCAGATCTAAATTCAGCCATACAACTCAATATGATGTATTGCACATTTCACATTGGCCTGCTTAGCATTCACAGCTAGACAGGATGTGGGAATTCAAGTTCCATTTACCTCCTTTTCATTCAGGCAGATGCTCACATGTGAACACAAAGATTTTCAATGCCAGGCAAACTATTATGCAAACTACAAGTCAACTCCCACCCCAAAACAAAACAAAGACAGAACTATTATTATGTCTACACTATACCAACGCAGAGATAAGCACTACTGAAACAAAACGGGCGAGATCAAAAACATTGTTCATTGAATTCGGAGCTCAGCCTAGTTTGGTTGACTTTAATTTCCTGCCGGCCATATAACTGAAAAGTAGTGTTTACAAAACTAACTGCTGTAGAAATTAACTAAAATTTCTTTAAGAAGCTAAACAAACAAAGAAACGAGTATGAAGATGGAATAAATTTGGGAATTTGCTCATCGGGTTCTTGAAAGGATTCCAAATCCTCCTCATTCACATACTAGAACTAGTGGTAAAAAAAAATTAAATCAAATTCAGTCCAAAAACAGCACGATTGGAAATCCATAAAGAAAAAAATCTGAAGGGAGGGAAATGGAAAAGAAATTACCTCCAGTTAGTTACCGATTAGGAGCCAATGCGGAGAGGTGTTGAATTCATGAGCTCTTATATATACATATACATACAGGCTAAATTAATTAATACGTATAGTATAGAGTAGAATGTATGTATGTATATACAAACGTAAACGTATATGGAAAGGGAAAGAGAGACGAAAAGAGTGACAAATGTAGTACGAGTAATAAACAAGGAAAGGGTTCCGTTTGGGGTTTTGTTTGCCCCATTAAGACACAGACTCAGACGTAGACTCAACCAAACTTTCAATTTCCGTAATCTTTTCATTTTTATTTTTTTATTTTTTACTTTGGCCCTTTATCTGTGCTTTACTTCATAATCCATGTGGACAGTGGACCAATTTAATATCTCAATAATAAATTTTATTTATTCTATATACACGCACAATTAAAATTTATTATTGAGATATTAAGAGTAAATACCCAAAATGGTCCATCGACTATAGTTAAATTCACAAATTGGTCATCGAGTTTCAATTTCAACCAATTAAGTTCTTAACTTTGTAATTTTGACACGATTTGGTCCTCCATCTATTTGACTGTTTGTTGACCGTGATCGACGATCTCCAGAAGAACCTTCAGCTCTCGTCGGAGCACGTGGAGGCCTCCAGGATGACGTTGCACTGGTTCGGAAACATGTCGTCTTCTTCGCTCTGGTACGAACTCAACTACATTGAATCCAAAGGGAGGATGAAGAAAGGCGGTCGAATTTGGTAGATTGCTTTCCGCAGTGGATTCAAAATGTAACAGTGCGGTCTGGAAATACAACTAGAACCTTAAAAAATCGACGATAGACCATGAAATTACATATATATCCTCAAAAATCAATGTCAACAAACAGTCAAATAGACAGAGGACCAAATTGTGTTAAAATTACAGAGTTAAGGACTTAATTGGTTGAAATTGAAAGTCGATGACCAATTTGTGAATTTAGCTATAGTCGAGGGACCATTTTGAATATTTACTCAGATATTAAATACTCAATCTGTGAAAATTACAAAAAAGATTAGAAATATCATCATCAATTAAATACGTGTCCAAAAATACAACATGACTAGTTTTTTATAACAATATTAAGCGACAACTATTATCAATTACGTGTTTATATTATATTCTTCTTTCCTGAAATAGCTAAACATATTTATAAACAAGAGGGGAAAATAAATCTAAATTGCAAGTAGATGAATATAGCAAAAAAAGAAGCGTATATTAAGTTGATTTCTAAAATTAGTAAATTTTTGTTATAAATAGTTAGAATTGAACATGGAATTGACGGAGTGAAATTAATGAGAAGGATAGTTTGTATGTTAAAACTTAAAAAGTGCGAGGAATGTAGGAATTGAATGTGATGGTCCACAAAGAAAAGGACATTATAACAGTGGTGGATTTTATACAACCTTTTCGGTAAAAATTCACTAAGTAAAGTCCGCAGGAGACTTTGGTGACTACTCACAACTGATGAATTGAATACATGCTAAAATGGAGGCTGAACTAATATTGGGCTGTGCGATACACTGCACGTGCCGCGCTATATCCGTTACTATAATAAAAACAAGATCTTTTTAGAAAAAAAATATTTTTATTTTTCCGTCAAGACTATGTAGTTTTGATGAATTTGTAAATTTATTACTGCAAACAGGATTAACATATATGAGTGTATTTATTGTGTTCACATTTACTGCAAAAATAAAGCATGTTTGCAAATTCCAATAACCACATATTTTAAATTGCAAATAACTTTTACAATCTCAAAAACTAACATTAATTGATTGGAGATGAATTTAAAATTCAAAATTAGTATTTATACCCACCTCTACACCTATTTCAACATTATAAATAAGATTATACCACAACCAATACTACAAAATTTGTTCCTGGTACAAAAAGTTATGGATTGGGTTCCTTCAAACTGGTTTTTTTTTGGGCAGAGCTCTCTGTTGGGCATTGGTCGAGTTCAACCACTGCTCGATTTGAGATGTGGCGTTGTGGTTTACCATAGAGGGATGTGGTTAAATGGTTAATATCCACATACTTATCATCAAATAATGATTTTAAGTAGGATATGACAACCAGATAACTAAAGAACTCTATGGTTAAGTGTGCTGAGATCCATCACCAAGCTTTTTGCGATGTTCTATAAATAAGATGAGCATTTTCCAATTTGTAACTCTTACGCTATGAGTTGGTTGGTGCATTACCTCGTAGCCGTCTTGTAAGCTCGATCAACGAGTGATGTATTTTTTGTTTGTGCTAGTAGTGGGAAAATTCGGATAGTGACTAGTTGTCTTGTAACCCAACCGATTAATGATGTAATTTTATTTTGATTGTTTGTAATGTAAACTTTGTAAATTCGTTCCTTTGTAATGAGTGATCGGGATGCTCGAAGATCAAAGAATTTGATTCAAGGTTTATCACTAGATCGATGTAAAATTGATCACTAGATAGATGTAAAATTGATCACTAGATCAATGTAAAACCGATCACTAGATCGAGAACGATCTCTCGATCAAAAAGAAAGATCCCTAGATCAACATGTAGCTGACCACCCGGTGAATACAGTCCCCTAGGTCACCAGACCCTCGACCTAGAGGGTTGAGAGAATATATGAGAATCCTTAAAGAATCTTTAGATCGGTAAGTATAGATTGCCCGATCTTGAGCTAATAATACATCAGACTGTGGTCACATGACCTCTTATCCTAAGATCGGCAAAACTGTAATGATACGGAACGTAAACGGGCCTCGAGCTTAAGGGGTTAGCAAATTAAATGACTCGTGTAATGAAAACAAAAACGAAGACGAAAATGACTAAAAGCACATGACATTAAAGCATAAAATAAACTGAAAGCCCGAAGGGCTAAGCTAAAATGTTCGGCACAGTTGGCTCCCAGAGTCCATACTCCAAAAGATATCAACCTGACCCAAGCGGGGTCGGGTACCCAAACAATCGAACTTTACTCACGTGGAGAAGTCATCTCTTTCTCTACCTCTAGCTGTTCCGGGGCGAGTTCTGCTAGGGTCAGCGCCGTGTACGGGACAAGCCCAAGATCGACCACTTCTTCAGGCAGGACTCCGAGAAGGGACACTAGGTCGTCGTCATTGAGCGCCTCGGATAGGGATTCCTTCACGTCGGCCAGTATCCTACGTTTGCCGCACGTGAAAGCCCATTTGTCATACGTCCACACCAGGTCGTCCCCGACCTCGGTCTTGAGCAGCGACCAGAAGAACGGTTCCGCGGTAGCCCGGGTTCTGAAGACTTGAGCGGCTAGTTGATCGGGGTGAGTTGCGGCTTCCTCTAGGAAAGATAGGGAAACTTTGTAGTTCGAGACGGCTATGCTGATTTTGCCCTAGACCTTCTTCTCAAGCTCATGGATCTTGGCATCTCAACGAGTTATGACCTCTTTGGCGACTTCCACATCCTTCTCCTAAAGCCGCTCGCCAGCCTTAACCCGACAAAAAAGGTCGGCTAAGGTGCAACCCAGCTGCAAAAATGTGGCGAGTGGTCAAGGAATTGAAGACAAGATTTTGTTAATGAATACTGTAGAGAATATTAACCTGGATGAGCTTATGGGATCGCCGTTCACCGACCTAGTTGGTCGTGAGTTAGATGTGCTCTCGGACTTGGACAGGAAGGCTTTGATCTTGACAAGAAGGGTAGTCGACCAATCTCCCCCGCACAGAAGAGTATTGATTATTGGTGTGTGGTCAGGGGATTCGGCTCGTCTCTGCTTCTTGGTCGGGGCCACCTCTTCGACCCCTAGGGCCTTATCTTTCCCCCTCTTAGAGTAAGCTTGGGTGATTTGTAGATCGGAACCTGAGCTAGTTGGCATGACTGTTGTGAGGGGCATCCTAGAGGGTATAGAAGGGGCAATCTCGGATGTGCTGGCCTTGTTACCACCAAAAGTGATCTTCAGGCGAGGAACTTGAGGGGTGGTGCTGGTTTCTAACCCTTTGTCTAAGCCCATCTCTGCAAAATCAAATAAAACAATCAAGGTCGCTAACAACATCTTAACCCGACCTAAAAACTTAAGAAATTTTAAATAATAATGTTAGATAATAGTAAGATGGCCTATGGTGCTCGGCCCAGCTGAAGGCGACGGAACTGCGATCGTGATAGTTCTGGACTACAGAGTGTATTTCGTGTCCAGTCAGCTCTTGCAGGTTGGCCGCGACGTACTCCTCTAAAGATCAGAAAACCCGATAGTCATAGAATTCTGAGGAGATGGCCGTGACGTGATTAGTCAAGGCACGCGTCTTAGCCAAGAAAACATGCTTATGAAAATGGGATGAGCATATGTCGGGGACCGGGAGGCACACAAATACTTGATAGAAAATATTCAAAATTTCCAACCTTTGTTGTTATTCGGGATATGGGTGATACTGCAATGGTGGCCCCTAGATTAAACCATTACAAATCCTCCCTCATGCTTAGAAGGAAGGGCTCAGATGCAAAAACAAATCGAAATAGTTCAAAGGGTGCACGGGACGTCGTGTACAGCACAGATCTGCGGGAAGCAAGCTAAAATTCGATTGGTGTTGGGACAGATCTGGCCAAGGAGAACCCTATAGAAGTGAAGGAAAGAGGAGAGGAGCTGGGAGAACAAGAAGGTCAGAGAGGCTTTGAGGGAGTCAAGGTGGATCCCAGTCCACTCCCCCCCCCGAAGGCGTTCTATGATATTTCCCAGTCTCCACCGAGTATCGAATGTTACGCAACCACTTTGCATGGAAGATACCTCCTCGAGTTTGGTATAGGTGAGTAGTGGGAGATATTTCTCTACAGTCTCACTATTCAAGTAATTGTGTTTCCCACTTGCTAAGGTGGGAGCTCGGATCTGAAGAGACAGGTCACCGAGAGAAGAAGAAACTAGAGGGTTGGTGGTGGCCCGAGGATTAGAGAGTGGAGGTTGGGAGGGAGAAGGTTGACCTGAAGGCCTTGCTTCGTCTTGGCCTATTCGTAAAGATACCCCTCGTTGCTCGTCGGCTCAGACCTTCGTGGTAATCGGGTGTGCACAACGAACCTCAAAAAACCCTCCACAGCGCATATGGTGGAGTCGTACGATGAAACGGAGAAGGACCCGACCTCAACTTTGTTGTCATAGTCCTGCGCAGAGACGTGCTGGCTGTCTGAATCGGACATGTCTCCTCCTTTAGGAGG